CACACGGAGAGTTTAATTCGAATTAAACGTAAGTTTACTGCGAATTAGCTTCGCTTAGCGTTCACACGGAGAATTTAATTCGAATTAGTTTACTTCGAATTAGTTTACTGCGCATTAAATTACTTCGCATTAGCTCCGTGTGAACGCTAAGCGAAGCTAATTCGAATTAAATTTTGGGGCATGCGTAATGGCAAAGTTAAAGGCCGAGCTTGACCTACTTGAAAATCCGGTGGTAGTGCAATTAAGCAAATTTGGTGTAGGGCGGCGCTTACTGCTGCAGCCAAGTTAAAAATAAACTCCAGCATGCTGATAACAGAAGACAGCACATGTGTTACTTGGCTAAACAAGTCGCCCACTGTGATAATCTTTACAGAGTATAAACAAATACAAAGCAGGATTTACAAGACACACTGCTGATTTATTGATTAATTACATTATTGATTATATAAAATTCTGATTAAAATAAAAAAAAAATTAAATATTACATTATAATATTGATATTTCATACATGTACAAAATTTTCTGGACTCAATATTAATATTATAACAGTTCATTTCAGTAAAAGCTTTCTACATATTTACACCAAATATTATCCCTGTATCTAAATGTTAGTTTTTTGTACACTTTCTTCCCTTTTTGGTTTCGTGGGGCATTCGGATTCCTGGAATGATACACAGAGGTGTGCTCCCTGTCAACGTTCTCATTCCAGTGGCACACAGCTAAGTTTGATCTGAGTTTATACTGGTTTTCTCCAAACACTATTCTCTTGTCTTGAAATATGTTCATGACATTAATAAAACTTTCTACATAGAAAGTATCTTTACCTAAAACATAATCCTCGGGATATTTATAGATTACTGATCCTTTCAGTGCATTTTCTAAAAGTTTTTTGGCGATTTTACTTGTTAACACCACTCGAGAAGGTTCATACTTTTCATCCTTTCTGCATCGTGACTTTGGATGGCACTTTTCATGCAAGTTTTCATAGTGCGGAATTATATTCTCTATGAATTCTTGTAGTTTTTTTGGATTTCCTTCACAGTGACGAACAGCCCAATGAATATGAGTGGCAATTGGTTCGGTCTTGTCAACTAGCTGCTCACTCCAGGTAAAACCCTCGGACTTCTTACTGCCACTGGAAATATTTTTCAGTGATTTTTTAAGTGCTTTCACTGAATGCCATAAGTCGTTTTGATTTGTTGTTTCTTGTGAGTCTTTGATGAATTTGTTGATACTGAGATTTCTGTCGTGAGAGTGGATCTTGACGGTAACGTCTTGGGAGGTGAAATTTTCATAAATGGTTTCTGTGCCAATTCTTTCATGTCGTTGAGAAACTGGGTCCTGTTGTTTTGTGACATGGACACAATCCAAAACTTTATGACATTTCTCACCGATGGCCACTACAGATGTGTCTTTTGCGTTTTTACGCCATCCATGCCTAGCATCAGTTAAAATGTTAATTCCATCCAAATCTTCGTAACTTCCAATTTCTTCATGAAGAGCATCTTGAATGGATTCCTGATATTCGGTCTCAACAGAATTTTTATATTCTTCAAAAAATTGTTTCCTCCTGGCCCAGTTGATGCATCCTAATCCACTTCCATTTGAGAATCTTGTATAATGAGATGGTAGCATTCCACTACACATGAGACCATGACATATTCTGTGGTTGACTAAATATTCATCATTGGGTAGATATGGTGATGATGACCAGGAATAACTATGCATTTTGTCCTTGGAGCATTGGAGACGCAAAGAGATGACATGTCCTTTCATAGTTTTCTTTGAAAATTTCAATTTTCCATCACAGGTTTTGGTATGAGCTTCACAAAGTTCACATATATTCAGAAGTGATGATTCTGCACAAACGAACATTTTCTGATTTACGTCCCTCTTCCTGACTTGAAGATATGTTGATGGAAATTGTGTCTGATCCGGCTCCACTCTTTGGTCCTCTGAGTGTTTTTTTAGCCAAAAGTCCAAAAGTTCCTCAATAATAACAGCATTGTTTACAGGTGCATTGCACTTGGAAGTGAGAAATGTTTTCACCTCTTGGAGTTTTCCTTGAATTTTAGTTTTAAATTCTCCATCACCTGGAATTTCAAGTCTAAAATTTGGTGGACGTTTCTTTGAGGATTCTACGTTTTTTGCCATGATTTTGAATACAAGAGTTTGATGGTTCAGAGAGTAATTGTTTTAGTATATATTGGTCAGTAACCCAAAACCATCCTTTATTGGTTATCATGGATTTTCTGGGAGGCCGGGGGGGGGGGTATTTATTGTTATAAAAGAGGAAAACGTGTTACCTCATTATAAAATTACATGTATTATTGTTCGAATGTATTGATTTTTCCTTTTTTAATTTCTCTTTACATTTTTTTTTTATTAAAAAAAAAAATAAAGTTGCCTTAATTTCTAAGGAAAAAAAAATATTAACATAAACAGAATTCTCCTTAGTTTGGCCCTATTCACAAATTTGCAGTAACTAATAAACCATTCTCTTATCACCATCTAATCATGTGGGGAGGTCAGACTTCACACAGCTGCATCAATTAGTACCTACCTACATTGCATCAATTAGTATCTACACCGTAATCTTTAGACACCATTTTCCATCAGTGTGTTATTTTATTTTGTAAGCAAAATGGAAGAAAGACAGAGATTAATTTTGGATGTAAGTGAAATGCAGATGGAGGCCATAAAACATTTTTTTCTGCACAGTGAATGGGATTTTCGCCCCATTGACACATCACAGGAAGAGGAAATTGGCGGGAAAACATGTGTAAGGTCAGAATGTGTAGACAAAGGTGTTCAGACAAATACAGAATTAGATACTGGACCCGATTGCTGTGGCAATGATGAAGAAGATAATGTCGAAGAAGAAAAATTTGTCATTCCTCAAGACAATAACAGAGACGAATGCCCATTCTGCTTCTGCAAACCCTGCATCACAGATGACAACAACAGGCAATTATGGTGGGAAGTGGAACCATTCAGACTGCCCCACCCCAGGAATTCTAAATTACGAAAGGAGAAATATAAAAGATTTTGGACAATGCTTTTACATCGTGGAGTATGGAGTGATCCCCGATATGTTGTGAAAAAAGTGCGAGCTTTGGAACATTTTCAGCTGGGACAGGAATGGCACAGACGTGACATAATGCCAACATGTGTAGTGAACATTGTGAGAACATGGCTACCAAATCCAAAAGATGTACAATACATGGGTCATTTGTGGGAATAATTTTTTTTCTTATCTGACAGTCAATCTTGTCTTCTCTTTTATTTCTTTTTGTTTGTATATAGATAGGCTAGGAATATATTTGACTCAGTATTTATTTTGTACAGCTATTGTGAGGATTTTATAATATTCTAATTTCAATACAGATGTGAAAAAAATTTAAATCATGGATTTTATTTTTGGAGGTTGGATTTATCTAGAGATGAAAGTAAGTCAAATACTGCAGCATTCTGTTTTCCTACAATGTCTGCATGAGATGTAGACAACTTCCGGTGTAAACAATAACAAACTAAACCACACCCACTGCTGTCAGTTTTGAATTTCAAATAGAAATAGAAGCCCTGCTTCAAATATTTCAATGAAAAATACAGCTTAGAAAAAAATTTCCAGTAAATTTAATTTGTGACCAAAGATGCACATTAGTGAGAAGAGTTAGCCTGACAAAAATCTGGTGATAAAGGAGACTCAGTATTTTAATATTTGTAAATAAGTCTCTGCAATCTGAATGTGGCCAGAAAAATCAAATATACCACCATTTTTCTCATTGGCTGCTATTTATACTCCGATGTCCTCCTTTAAGTCAAATGCGTCATGTCGGTGGTCAGCAATAAGTACTTGTGCTATTTTTGAGTGAAAAACTAGGAAAAAATGTGTTAATCACTAAGATATATCTCCAGACACTGTAACATTATGTCAAATGCATCTGCTTCTGCATAAGGTGATGTGATTTGCAAATGACGTCATAATAGTCTTCCTCACGCCTGACTGTCGAAGTAAAATTTTAATTCACATTAGTTTACTTCGCATTAGCTGTCGTGTGAACGCAATTTAATTCGCATTAGTTTGATTCGCATTAGTTTACTTCGCATTAACTTACTGCGAATTAAACTTGTCGTGTAAACAGGGCATAAAGTCAGAAAGTGGATCAACTGTTAAGTATTTTTTTTAACCCAGCAATACGTAATGTGAATTAAAACCGAAGCTTTAAAATATCTGTTCTATTATTATACAGAACCATCTTACTTATTTGGATAAAAATGTCAGCTCAGCAAAAATTTGTATTTATGAAATAGAGATTTGGCCTATTTTACTATGGAATTGCCCTTCTTCTTGGGGAGATGTGTCAACAGGTTATGATTACTCCTCCTTGGCACCTGATCCCACCTCTGGAATTTCCAGGAGTCAATCCGTGTTGACGTCCTCTTCACAGATTTGTATGGTTTGACTATACATGAAATCTATCAATGTTCGTTATATTTATCATTATCAGTTACGGTAACATTAATATGGTTTGTCAAACGTTGCAATATTCGATCTTTTTTCATTTGAATTATATATTTTTATTTGTATACCATTATTTTTCATTTTTATTGTATAAATTTTCCATTTTCATTGTATAAATTTTCCATTTTCATTGTATAATTTTTCATTTTTCCATTTAAAAATGTTGATTTACAAAGGCCTTAGGTATTTTTTTTTTACAACTAGCTTGTTTTCTGAAATAACAAAGTACTGTTTCAAGCATAATTTGTTAGATGTACCTCGTCTTATAATTTACCTCAATAGAAATCATAAATTTTCCTTCGTATTCAAAATTATTTATTCAGCATCAAAATTGCAAATAGGAGACAATCATTATAAATACACACACAAATGCAAGCACAAAAATGTGTTCCATGACTTTCTCTTCTCTTTTTCTCTCTTTCAGACTCTCTTTGTCTCTCCCTGGTCCAGAAATTGATAATTTCTTCTTGCTCTCTCCACTTGCTCCTCCTTTGTCCCATCACAGTTCGCCTGTCTTTTTGATATCACAGCTCACAATCCACCCACCCTTCCTGTGACGTTATTAGACGTCTTCTTCCTCAGAGATAGTCTCCTCAACACCTTACCATGGCGTATCTCGTCCACAATGTTATCAACGATCTTCCTGTCTTCTGCTTTAGCAGAGGCATTAAAGGAAACTAAAAAAGATGCAAAAGGATGACAAATGAAATGAAAAATACACGGTTAAATTTCTAGTAGAAGATGTAAGGATTGTAACAACTTTGTATACTAGATGAGATTGAACTATTTTGGTAATGTGAGTACAAACCTTTGCGTCTATCGGATGTTCCTTCTTGTGCTCGTCTCCGTCTTTCCGTCGATTCCTCTTGTTGACGCCGAGATTTCATTTCCTGTAAATAATTCACAACCTCATCTTGTTTAAAGTGTTTTACTCTTTCTGCTATTTAAGAAATAAGATATCATTTTTAGAGTGTCATTGGGATATGACATGAAGTCGATCACGTGATCAAAGTCTATAACGCCCGAATGGCGTTATGGTAGATTTGATCACGTACCGACTTTCCTATCCCATTGACACTCTAAAAATGATATTTTATTTCTTATATTTATATTTTTATTTCTATTCACATTACAAAGACAAAATGCTCTATGTTTTAGACTTTGTAATTGAATGCAACATAACGTATAAATACGACGTCATATGACGTCACAGTCAAGACTTTCCAAATGTCTCGTGCAGTTTGCTATCGATACGCAAGAAAGTCTGATCATGTGACCGACTGTATGTCATTCAAAATTGAACGTCATTTTTTTTAGTTTTGTCATAATTTATAAGGAAAGACACTGGCAAATGTAAATATATACTCTTCAAAAAAAGAAACGCATAGAAGGAACAATGCCCTTAAAAATGTATGATAGTTTTGTCATACCTTTTATTTTTGTATGGATACGATGTATTCGAGTGAAATTCATGATTTTTTAATGCAATTGTTAACTTTATAGCTATTCTACAAGTCTCATAGACAAAAGGATCTGATTTTGCAAAATTTCCCCCAAAATTTTTATCTCAATTTTCATTTGTTGAATTCTGATGCAATTCTTTCAGGTACAAAGGGGCTATCAAAAGCGGGGGTTCTCGATATTTTGAAACTGGTTTTATCTGAAAAATGTCGCTTCCTAAAATTGCTGCATCTGGATATTGCGTGGTACAAAAAGGAAAATGGGCGACTGGAAGCAGGGGTACCACAATCTACAATTGCAAGAGGTTTTAATGTTACACACAGACCATTTCTAACCTATAAAACATAAACCATTAACATCGAACACCCAATGTTCGCAAAAAATATGGTAGACTACGTGTGACATCAGCAACACAGCATCACTTCCGATGATTACGTAAATTGCATGAATGTAATGCAAGGACGTCATCTAAAGCATTAGCTATCCCTGAACTGCACAGATCATCAAACAAGACCGTTTTCAATTGACTACGAATTATTGCAAGAGGATTATTCATGCCATTGTTCCGACCCCAGAACACCCCAAATATCGACTTCAAAGATCTCAGATCAATGACCACAGCATCACTGCTGAGCATTTGGGTAACCTACTAGTCCAGAATGTTTATCTGAAAGCGTCTTATAAGTTTAAGAGTGCTAATGCGTTTTAATGAATGTTAAACAGATAACTGCCTCAAGGACGTTAAAAAAAGTTGGTGGTGGTAGTGTAATGATTTTGAAAACGGTATTATAAGAAAGTAAGATTGATTTGGTTCGAATTCAATGGACTTTGATGGAAAAGGGTACTCTAACCATGTTCTACCTACACATACCCATTCAATTTTGCAGCATCCTAGAGCCGAATTGCAATCTCACAATACAAGGCCACATATGGCTCGTTTGACAGACCTATTCTTGCAAAGAAAAAACAGACTGTTTCAATCACAGTCATCTAAATCGCTAGATTTAATCCAAATTAAGCAGCATTGGACAAAATGGATTGACATGATTTGCCAAAGACAATCGCATCCCCAGATTCTGCAACAGTTGACTAAAGTTCTACTTTTGGAGTGGGAGAGTATTCCTATACAGTTTTTATTACACACTTTGCTTCCATTAGATGCCGTTTGTGGCTATCATTTGTGTGTCTGCGGGGGGCATACCAGATATTGATCTTTAATGGTCTTAAACTGACTATAATTTTAAAATTGTAGAGTAATTATGGCATTTAGATAGTATTCCTGTTGCTTACCACAATTCTGTTTTATCAATGCATCATTTTACTAAATTATCTTTATGTTCAATGTGTCACTAAAATTCTACTATGCGTTTCTTTTTTTTTTGAAGAGTATATAAACATTAACGTGATATTATACGAATGTAATCATCAGAGAAGTTTAACATAATTTTGTTAAAAGTGTTTTACTCTCTTTCTGCTGTATAAATATTAACATGATATTATATGAGTGTAATTATCAGAGAGGATTGACTTGGAATTACAGAATACCTGCTGGCATGGTTTGATTTTCTCGCAAAATTGTCTAAAAGTGCTCAGGAATTCATCTAAGTTGAGGGTTTTCTCCTTCTCACAGAAATGTTGGGCCAGACGACACGACTGCTTACGTATCCTCTCTATGACGTCTTCAGTATCTTCTAGATCGGCATCAGCTTCCTGTATTATAAAATGGGCTTTCCATGTTTTGAAGAAGAAGTGAATAATGTTCATTTTGTGTTTAAAATGTTTTGGAAGACATCTTACTTCTAAAAATTCGGCAAACTGTGCTTTTACGTCGTCTTCCACATGTTCACATTCTCGTTTGAGTCTATGGACCAGCTTCTTCAGCTGGTTGAATTCAGTTGTGATTCCCTCCATAGTAAACCTTCATTATGTAAAGGTATACATTCAGCATTACTCACTTACCCTCATGAGTTGTTTGTATCAATTTTGCACGAAATACCATTATTTATTGGAATATATTTCTTGTCAAGTAAAGAAAATTATACGGTTACAATGATCATCAATATTACTTTTTAAATTTTTTATTCATTTAGATAAGATTTAAATTAAGAATATAAACCTTGCTGCTTTTTGTAGAGGTTCCAGTAAGGTATCCACAAAGCTGAGAGCTTCTGGGTCCTTTTCCTCCGCGGTTTCCACCAAATAGTGGAGGAGAGTTCTCTTGGAGGAACTGG